TAGGAATATATATAGTTCAGTACTCAAATCTCAAGCATCGCAAACATGAAGGGGATATTCTGCCTCTCAGAGGATGCCATAGCACCAGCGGATCCCTTTCTCATTTTCTCCCCAGACACCTCCCTGTTGACCAACAACAAGCATTTATGGGATGGCCACCTAGAGTTACAGGATATGCAATCGGCCTCTGAGTCAAGCTCATTGACCAGGCTCAGGATGAAACCCTTGAGCTGGGCCTAATTTAGTCCCTTAAGGAACTACGCTAAATCACCCACGTATCAAATTTTACACACAAGGTTGATCTAAGAATGGCCACAATATGTTTTTCCCAATAGCAAAGACCATGAAGCAAATCAAACAAAAGCCTGATAGGAGAGCGAAACAAAACCACGCCAAGGAATATAGAACCAACAGGAAAAAGGGAAAGGAAATTAAAACAATGTTAATATGCCATTTATAATCCAACTGAGACGCATAGCCACCCCTATTCCACAAGAAGGTACTTAATCACCATTACCTTTCTTTCATCCACAACTCTAATTCTTATCCCCAAGCATTGCGTCATATCCTTTCATTCAGAAGTATAAATAATTCAGAGAGTATTTATTTTCATAATCAGCATGTATGCAATGTATGGCTGGTCTGGGCGTCGTGGCTTTCCTCTCCCGTCCCGTTGTAGAAACCCCAGCCGGACCTGCATTTTTCCTGGGTTTTCTCCCCATGACCTCTCGAAGGGACGCCCTCATGATCTGGCCTGCATGCAAACGGCACGCAGGATTTAACCAATTCTTGGCTATGACAATCCATTCCACTCCAAGAACACATACGACACACCCGCCCTACTGATGTTTTCTGAGCGATTCCTTTCTTCTAACATCCCCTCCTCCTGGGAAGGATGATATGAAGATCAAGGAGTTAATGTTTGTCAAATACTTTCGGCTTCTCAGATGAAAGGCAACACTAAAGTTCAAGGGACCTGAGGCTGGCATTCCACTAGAGGGGTTGAAGTTGGGCTTCCAGGAAGGAAATCAAGGTTGCAAAGACCTTCGTTTGTGAAGATCCGCTTTCATTTGCCCTCTTGCTAAATAAAGGGAGGCAGATTTATTTGGACCTTCTTTAATTAACCGGATTTCGACCTCAGAAATACCAAGATCCTTATATCAGAAATACCAAGATCCTTATATTAGCGCTAGACCCTTGTTATAGTAAGTAGTGCACAGACAAAAGGGTCCTTTTCTCAGCCCTTCTCTAAGTGGCTTTCCCTCCTCAAGCCTCCCCTACTGCCTGGTCCTATAACTCTCAACCTCCTCCTATAGGATGGGGCCACATGGCAGCTGCCAGCCAACACATTTGCTCTGAGCCAATAGACCAAAAAAAAAAAAAAAAGTCAAAGACAAAGCTTTATGTGTATATTGGCACACATGTGAATGCAGGCTGCTTGGGGGGAAGTGACACAAAGGGCACATTCATGGCCACACAGGACTCCTAGAACACATAAATAGCCATCCTTGACTCAACACCTACTCTGTGCGAGGCACTATGTTAAGAGGGGGAGACACACAGCATGACATCGAGTTCTCCGCCAATATTCTGCCAAGTTAGATACTACTGGCCTCAATGTGTAGATGAAAAGAACTGAGACTCTGAAGGGCTGTGAAGCTCGCCCAACGTCACGCAGCTAAAAAATGGCAGAGCTGGAATTCAAACCCAGGTACATTTCGAACTCTCACCCCTCGTTCCCCGGCTTAACACGCTGCTAGCTGGAAAAGCTGCAGAACCTGCCACGCTCAGCCCCACCCCACGGGCACTCAGTAAGCCCTCCATGGGGCTCAGACAGGATAAATTACTAAGAAGGGATCACAAAGTCCTATTTTAGACATGAATGTTAACCTTTTTTACCAAAAGTTATTTGTTTTCCCTTGTTCTTTTTTAATTAGCACAAGCAGCAATAATTTAATGGCTAATTAAGTATTTCATCTTATCTCTTTCCCCTGCAGTATCTCTACCCAAGTGCACAGCACCATTCTGAGGCTTAGAGTGAGTTCGAAAAAGACATGGCGCTTGGTGACTACATAAGCTCAAATGCAAGACAGGAGGTGAAAAAGGACAAGAATATGGAACCCAGGTGGGCTACAATGTGCAGTGAAAGAGTTTGTTTGTTTCCCATTTTAAGACCAAAAAAAAACATCAACCCTTAAGGCAGGAAAGCACTGGTGGGGGGGCGGATTCCTTATAGTTCTTGACCCCTGGCCCCTCCATTCAGGACCAGCAAGAATTAGCCTAGGGCTGACCCAGTGGCGGTTGGTTAAGAACTGGCTTGGGATGCTAGAGGGCCCTGGTTCGGATCCCACATATGAGGGCCAGTGACACTGCCCTCTACAGCTAAGATGCTGAACAACAGCTCAACCTGGAGCTGGGCTGCCGTGAGTAGCCAGCAGCCAGCCGGAGCGGCCAGCAGCTGCCGTGAGCCGCCATCCAGAAGCCGGCGCGCCCGGGAAGAGCACAATGATGATGGTGCCAACTTGGGCCAGTGAAGCGATGTCCTCCACAACTAGACTGAAGAACAAAAGGACAGCAACTTGTCTATTCCCCTCCCCCCAATTCCCCAATAAAAATCTTTAAAAAAAGAATTCTCCTAAAAAATCTCATTTTTCTCAGAATTTGTTGGGTTCTTCCATATTAACATAGTCTAACTGTTCTTTCCAAGACAGCCGTCCATGCCACACAGTAGGCACAAACCTGAATAACTCAGGTGTTAATAATAACAACTGTTTAAACCAATGATGGAAGCTGGGAAGGTTTGTGGGATTAGCCAGAAAGAGCTTCTCTTCAGCCATTTCTCTCCTGCGGGCCCCATATCTTCTGGAAACCTCCTGTCAGGGGGCTGTTCCTGAGATACGGTATTTGTGAAGGGAGTTGGATAAACCCCCAAAATTGTAGGGAGTCAGTGTGCTCTTCCCACTTTGATGGCCTGAGGTCACCCACAGCTGGAACTCTGCCACTTCGGCCAGGACTCAGCCGCTGTGAAAAATACTACACCACCACTTCAGCCCAGCGCAGAGGCACCCTTGAAAGGCAAACCACGCAGAGAATGCTACTGCACTAGAAGGAATTTTTCTAGGCAGGATCTGCTGAGTCCTGGACCATCAGGCTCCAACAACCCGCTGGAAGATACTCCGTTTTTATCAAGTTCCAGAGGAACGCAAACTAGTCCTTACAACCGTGCTGAAGCAATCGTGACTTTTAAAACTAGAGCATACTCTGACGAACACAGGGACACATATCAACTCATTCTGCGTATCAGAGCCACCCATTCAAATCAGGCAAAAGGGCACCACGTTGTTCATATCCCTCGCATGAGAGCTATCACTGCTATGACACAAGCTTGTAACACCCCCATCCAAAGATAAGGTTACTTTAATACAAGGGTCCGGATGCTGCAGCTTTATCACCTATGGCAGTCAAGCATCTCTTTAAAAGAGAATCTATACCATTTAATAAAAACAGGCATGGGTCAATTAGTGCCAATGAAAATTTAGAGGGTCGGCTGCTGCAACTCCTTATAGAAACAGCCATCAGGCATGGAGGTGTGTCCAAAAGGAGGCTGTGCTCCTCTGGAAGATACTTGGTTCTGATAAGTGGGTAACATGTTCCCAGTTTCATTTCTGATATATTAAAAAAAAATGCTCTCTATTGTACCAACCTGGTCATAAATCCCCCTTCAGCCCCCAGAGAGGTGTGACCTCTTTGTTCACTTTTTTTGGATGACTCTCACTTTACACAAGCTGTTTCCGCTCCCTGCAATGCTCTCTCCAAATCACTGGCTCCTCCAGGTGAGTTCTGAGCACACCTCACCCCCTCACCTTCAGGACCACGCTTTCCCAGGCTCTCACAACCCTGCAATTCCCAACCAACCTGTGGGTTTCATCCAAGGGGCTACAGTTAAGACCTTCTTGTAGCACCTTTGTCTCCCCTGTTCCTAGCCCAAAGTAGCAGCTCAATACTACGTTTGTTGAATGAATGAGTGAACCAATCCATTTTAAGAAATTAACACATGGGTGAGAACCCTCTAACCACGTAGGCAGCCTGCAGTGTGGAGATTCCTCACCTTCACAAAGAGCCTGCGACAGCCAGCCAGTTCCTGGACAAACCCCACAAGCTCCTTAAATTGTAGGTGGGTTGGGGGTTGGGGGGGACAGGAACCCAAGGAAGCGGAAGGGAAACGGACTCCGGGGCAGCGCTACCTCACCGAGGCGTCCTCAAAAAGGTGAAAAGCCTATTGACTAGGTATTCAAAATCCAGATTTAGGGGTCATTCCAGGAAGAAAAGGGTCTAGAGAGTGTATTAACAACACCCTCAGAACTTGTTAATACGCGGAACCTTGAAAGTTTGAGGTGGAGACCTGTTCTGAAATTATGTGGCCACAGACGTTCCCTATGCGCCAGCCCAACCACCCAAGTAAGGGCTAAGAGCCCAGGAGTTTGGTGGCACCGCTGGGGCTGCGTGCGGGGGAGGAGGGGTGCCATCAAAACTCCCTCTCCTAAGATCCTGTCCCCCCGGGGGGAAGGGAGCAGAGGAGGATCGGGGAGCAGCGTCCCTCTCCCGCTGGAGCAACGGCAATGTCGTCTTCTTTCATCCTCCTGTCCCCAGTCCCTGGGGATCTCCGGCTGCCCTTTCTAGGCCGCCTCAGGTGCCCCAAAAGCAGAAAGGAATGAGGAGGAGGGGGCGAGGGTGTGGGCTTAGCCACAAACTCGCCAGACAGCGCTCACCTTCCACCTAACTCCCCAGACGAGCTGTGCGCCTCACCGCGGGAGGCACCCACCGCGACAGAGAACTCCCGCGGCCCGGCCACCTCGCGCCCTCGCTGCCCAGTCCGCGTCCCGGGCCGCCGATCCCAAGCTGGCGTTGCCAGCCTTTGCCCAAGTCATCGGCAAGGCGCCCGGGTCGCGGAGGCGGCCCCCAACCTCCGGCCGGACTCCTCCGCCCCAGACGGCGTTTACCTGCTTACATGGCCCCGTCGGTGCCCCGGAGTTCCGCACGGCAAGGCTGTCCTCCGCCGCGGCGGCAGAGCCCCAATTCCCCAAGGAATTGATTCCAGTGGCTGGCGGAGGAGGGGCGGAGGGTAGGAGCCCGAGGAGGCGAAAGGGGAGGGAGGCTTCCGCTGCGATCCCGGCGCGAGAGTCCGCGCAGGAACGCACGGAGCAGGAGAGGACAGCCACCTAAGCCCGGGGCTGTCCCGCGGGAGGGGTGCCGAGGAGATGAGGCCGGACGGGATGGCTGAGGTGGGAGGGGGGAAGGACGGCCAGCGGCCACTTTGTGTCTGCCGCTCCCCGAGCACCGGAGCCGGGAGGACCGGCAGCTGAGCGAGCAGGAGCGCAGCAACCTGCCCTCTGCCTGCGCCCGCTGAGCCCGCTCGGGGAGGAAAAGTTGGGAAGAACTTTTACGGGCCGGGAGAGCCCAAGCGGCAGGAAACGCGAGCAGCAGGGAGAGGAGGGAGGAAGGGGCCGTGCGAGTGGGAGGGGACGGAGCAGGCGCCGGCAGCCGCGGTTCCCCCACCCCCGGGCCCGGCTCGGCGGCGGCGCTGGGGGCCGGGAGGCGGAGGGAGCGCGGGGCGCGCGGCCGGGGGCGGGAGGAATGCGCCCGGGACGGGGGCGCGCCTGTGCGGGGGGCGCGCCTGTGCGGGGGCGCGCCTGTGCGGGGAGCGCGGAGACGTGGAGCCCGAGCTCCCCCGCTGAAGGCGCGCGGCTCTGGGGGACGTCACAGCGCTGGAATCCGAGGAATGTCGGGCTGCAGGAGCTCCTTCTGCAGGCCCGAGAGAAGTCGCGCACTTTTAACGTGGTAGGTTTGGAAAGCAGTTTGAAAGGGTGAGGGCTGAGGAGGGACACCAGGATACACTCCCTGGAGTAAAAAGTCGCTGGAGTGAAGGAAAAGCGACCACAGCCATGCCAACCTCGTGCTGCTCCCGGCGGGAAGGCGGAAAAATCCCACCTAGACCTCGGAAAACCGCAGTGTTGGGACAGCGGCAGCAATTGACCCACTCCGTCCTGGAGCAAGCACAGTACATCCTATATTGGGGAACGCTCCAAGCGGGACGCCCTCATGCAGCCACCGCACAGGGGAAGTAGACCAGAGAGAGGAAGGTGGCCTCACCGAGCAGGCAGTGTCAGAACAGAGACCTCTCTCCGGGACACCCGGAACTTCAGGGGACTGGACCTGGAGTCTTGATCCATCCACCCCATCCCCCACACACCCTCGCTCCTGGAATCGCCAAAGCAGTTTATGCATGCTGGGAGTTGGAATATGTCGTTTTCCCGGTTCTTTCCATGCCACAGACTCGCCCCACCCAGCCTGGGTAGGCACTGGGAGGGAACTTCCTTAGCACTTTCGGAGGTGGAGTTAATGAGCCGCAGCTGGTATGATGGAAAAAGCCCCAAGCCTGGAGAGGGAGCCTGGGTTTTAGGCCCTGCCCTGCTGGTGACCGAGTGGATGACGGAGGATTCCAGACCCTGAAAGCCTTGGCTCCTGTACCTGTAAAATTAAAGGGTTTGCCTTCGTTTCTGTGGTCTTTTGCATTACTGAAAACATGACTTAGGAGTCTGTTATCTTACTAGGACGCAAGCCCAGGCCTTTCAGCCTTCCTTAAGGTCCTTGAAAGGCATTGTCGCAAGATACTGTTCCAAATTACTTGAGTGTCCCACAACTCTCAAAAATTCTGGACCCCTTGGGAAAGAGAGCGGGAAACCCAAACGCAAAGCCTGGTGTTTCCGTCCTGTGCAAACTTGTGGTGACTCACCTTTCTGAGCATTTACCAGTCTCCGGAATTCTAAGTAAAGAAGACCCTAAAGGGATAGGAGGAAAAGTATGAAGGAATTAAGACCTGTTTCTCAGACTTTCAAGGAACTAGCTAGATATCTTCAAATGTGGACTTGCTGGATTTCCAAAGAACTTGAGGGAGTGCCTTGCTGTGGTCCAGGAAGTGTGGAAAGCATTTGGTGCTCTATTATATAGTATCCCCATTTCCTAGATGAGGAAAGTGAGGTTGAAGAACTTAACCTATCTCACCAAGGGTCACACAGCTAGTCACATAGGATAATGGAGCTTAGTCTGTCTGGCCAAAAAATGCCAGCTACTTATCTCTTCAAAATTTGACCAAAACAAGATTAAGATTAAAGATACGGAAAAACCTTCAGGCTCCCCAGGCAGGTAAAACCCGAGATCCTGCTTTTCTCTTCTGAGCCCCCAGATAAGAGGCCTCTTTGGGGGATCTTAGAGGAAAGGAAGTGGCATTTCTGTATTGTTCTAAAATCACTACGATACCAAACTACAAGCACAGCACAGCGAGGTAAGGCAAGTGTGGCACAGAAAAAAAGCAGAACACTTTTCACAGAGACACGACTTCTGGTTCTGCCTCTGACCAGCTGTGTGACCCCGAGCAAGCCACTTCACCTCTAGGCCTGAGTTCATTTCTTAAGTGGAGTGTGACATGAGGTTCAGAGTTTGGTAGAATTAATTAATCTCTGGGGTCTTTTCCAGGTCTGAACTTGGACGAATGTGTACTCCTCCAGGCAGATGGCATGCCTATGGAGGAAGCTAAGCGATAGAGCCAGGATGTCTTAGTGAAAGAACTGTTTCCACACTGCCTTCAGAATCAAAAATGAGTGTTGGGATTGTTGCTGAGTGTTCAATGGAGGAAAAAAAGCTAAGATTTAGTACGAACCCTGTGGACTCATTTTTCATTTAAATCATTTTACTTCTAACCATTAAAAAACACACTTAATATAAAAGCCCATAAAGTACATCTGACCAGCCACACTTCTCTTTCTTTAGAATAGATCACAGAAAGGCAATGCAAGTAAGAATATTTTTCATTTTTATTTTTTTTAATTTAAAAATTTTTTTTTCAATTACAGTTGACGTGCAATATTATTTTAGTTTAAGGCAAAGAATCTTTTTTAAGTAGGAAGTCCAAATTGAAGTGAAAAACACCTTTCATTCTCGGGGTAAATATGTAAAAGCTAATCACAAGCTTCTTTCAAAAAAACAAAAACAACAACCCATTCCCTAAGTTTGCATCACACTCATGTCTCCTTAATAAGCATCACACTGAGCAGGAGCTTGGTCCCAAACACATCACTACACATTTACTTTGAACTTCAAAGCGTTGTAATTTTAGGAACTTGTCCATATTAAATATCCTCCAAAATATTTCAACTTGTTCTAAGCCTGATTCAAACTACAAACCCAGGCAGCATCTCATGGGTCTCCATGATTCCTCCTACCTCTGATATGTGCCTCACACTAATTTATGAATTTCTACCTTCAAAACACTGAAATCACTGAAAGCAACACAAAATAAGTTCCCCCAATCAAAGCAAACTGGAAAGTAAGCAGGCTTTCTTAGGAAAACTGATGGTCTCTAGGGGCCTTCTACAAATTTTTAAGTTATGTTTATTATTGTTATTAATTTATTTGTTTTTACCCTCAGTCTAATTACAATTCCTAAAAGGATATTTGACAGTTTACAGTAATGAAGGGAACGAAAATGGGGACTTTTTTCAAAATACACATCTCTATCCACAGCGCCCATATCTTATTCATCTTATTTTCTGGGTCTAGGGAGAGAGAGAGAAAGAGAGAAAAAGAGAGAGAGAGAGAAAGAGAGAGAGAGAGAGAGAGAGAGAGAGAGAGAGAGAGAGAGAGAAAAGGAAAAAAACTATTAAAATTATGCTGGTGGTAACCACTTTGAGCACCTCTTGTAATTGCAGAAGTCAAATATGACTTGTATTCATATTTTGTTATCAGTATATATTGAGTATTACAATTTTAATACAGTTTTTTCCTTTCTTAAAATGTGTATACATTTTTGGCATCCTCTGTGTGTGTGTGTGTGTGTGTGTGTGTGCGCGTGTGTGTGTGTGTATTAGACAGCATTTTATTAATATATAATTCACATTTGATAAAAAGCACAAATCTTAATTATACATTCAACTTGATGACTTTTTCATATGGATACATCCACATGGCCACCACCCAAATCAAGATATAGAAAACATCCATCACCACAAAACTTTCCCATGTGTGACTTCTCAGTATCACCTCTCCAGGCTGACTTCTAGCACAATTTGTGTGTGTGTGTGTGTGTGTGTGTGTGTGTGTGTGTGTACATGTACATGTCACAATTTGCTTATTCTCCCATTGATATATTGGGCAGGTATATTTTGAAAACATTCCCCAAGTAATTATGTTACTCCTGGCCCCCTCCAATTCAGAACTACTGACTTACAGCAAAAATAAAATAAGTCTATATTATTAATACCTACAAAAAAATATTAAGTGACAGAGAAAAGGAAAGGAAGAGAACATTTTAGAACACCCAAATTTAAGAGTACTTTAATAGAAGTATACATTCAGAGCTGCTTATCAATAAAAACAATGTAGGAAATTGACTGGAATATGAACTTATTGTTATCTAGTAGTTTTTTGAAACAGCTATATGATTATTTGGAACTGCCATGTATAGCCACACATGCAGTGCCCAACACCGCTCCAGCAGCTAAAATAGTCTACAGTGTGAATGCCATCCCCAGAATTGTTCAGTGTGGTGTCCATGATGTTGTAATTTCTTCTTTGGAGAGAACTTCATGGTATCTGCTTGGGAAGAATCAGGACTGACCTGGAAGACTCAACCCTTCTTCCTTCCTGGTTGCATCTGGGAGGCCTTTCGGTTTGGAGAAGAGAAGAGGCCCTCCAAAGCCCAGCCTCTCCCCAGGTGGACTACGCCAGGAAGTCACACTACTCTCTCAACGACTGGTAAAATGATAGGAGACTTTTTGGAGGCAGAGGTAGAATGAAAGTGCGAAATGTTTATTTGGGTTTGCTCTCCAGTCTCTTGGAGGTCCGCCATACCTGTACTCCTTTTTTATGTCACACACTGTCTCCATTTCATCATCTTTCCTAATGTCTCAGTTCTCCTTCCTGATAACCCCTCATCTCCAGCCACCAAGCCTTCTGGTCATTACCTCTCCATTTCTCCTCCCTTTATCCACCTCTCAAGCAAAGGCTTTCTGCCTTCCAAAGGGACCTAAGTCCGAGGAGGGTCCCCAAATCCATGCCTGCCAACCTAGGCCACAAGTGAATTATGTCGTTGTTACTTCCTTTTGTCAAAGATTTTTAGGTTGTATTTTTTTCAAGCTGGGAGGAGAAAGATGAATCTGTTCTGAGACATCGTGTCAGCAGCCATGGCAACTGCGGTTGACCAACTGCTTTTCTCCCTCTGGCCGAGGGTACCATGGACAATGATATCAATTAGAGTCAGGTATATCAGGCAGACTCTAGGCATTTGACAAGTTTTTCCAATGAAAAAGTACAAGATTCAGCCAATGGGTCACTCTAAAAATTCCATACAACAGCAATAATATTAATCAAGTACACTCTGGAAAGGGTAATTCACACACATTATTGGTACTTTCAGCATGATGTAAAAGAAATAAAACTTAGGCACTATTAAGTATCTTGCTAGTTTCAATCTATTCATTTTATTCTCTACTCATTTTGCATTAGGTCTCAGCCCTTGA